ATTGATACCATTTTTTTGTGGCTGAGTTGAATTTCGTAATATAAAAACGTTTTGAGTAATATTAAATGTTCGGAGTAATAGAAAGAGGGGTAAACAATAAAATATTAATGCAGTCTTAAGCATTAAGTAGTGAACTACCATTATTGGCGCAACACATGAACAAAATTACCGTATGTAGAGATAAAAAGGATACAGTCGATTTTGACTATTATTTAATGACCGCGGGGCAATACTGATAATGGAACTTAAAGAATGGTTTTTAAAAAACGTTTATTTAATTAATCGAGTTTTGAATTTCGTTTTCAAAATGAGATTCACGAAATATTTTGAACTCATTTTTAGTATCTCTATCGGCTGCAGTACTTTGCACATGCACCTTGGAAATACATTCACAACCTCCCATCCGAGTTTACAAGATGTTTTTAGCTTCTCATTTGAAGCAGATCTCAAATTGGTTTATCAGGAAAGGTTTGAAAACGTAATGAGTGAACATTGTCTATTTCATTTAAATGCATGTATTTATATTAATGCAGCTATTTGCGATATATATGTATGTTTTTTTTAATAAAATTCAGCATTAAATGTTACTTATATTTATTTAAATGTCAATAAAATATAAGTAATTAAGAACATCATACTTGATAAAGTATTTTTTAAATTATATCGTATTACGAGTATGACGAACATCGGCAAGAATGAGTATGAATTATTAAAATTGAATGAAATTTTTTATGATAAATTTGTTTGCAGAAATATGACGACTGGCATGAGCGGTCTTTATTACCGGTATATTAATGTAACTTTAGTGCGTGAAGGATGTAGTATATCGAGGACTTTATTAATAACATTTTACTGTAACAGATATGCTATACTCGGATTATAGCAACAGTAATATGAACGTCCAAATGGAAATATTCAAGCCAAAGAATTTATTAATCAGCAAACTAATCAACCAATGATTAGTTATTTCTTTATGTTTGGAAATAAACCTTCCTTCTCTTGTTTTAACTTGTAAACATTAATACAATTATAACATTTAGAAACTCAACATTGGAAATATAAGTATAAACATGAAGAAACAAATTAATGTAACTAAACAAAGGACTTTATTTCTTAAAACAATATTATTTTAATTTGTCCCTTTCGTACATTGGAAAAGAACGGAAAGGGTCAAGAAGTTAAAAATGTTATGAACAAACAACATTTGACAGTTTATCACATATTATTTTTCTGTAAAACGTACCAAATAGTGCGTTACCATATTCTGTTGTAATTTGTTAACATTTTCTCAAATGTTATTTATGTTCTGTGTTATCACATATATAATTCCTTAAAAGAGAAGGTGTATTTTAATAAATTATTTAATTTGATTTAATAGCAAACTTTCTTTTTTGGAGTAGAAGGTGGAGAGAAATTATGCTATTTATATTTTCGGATCAATATTTTGATGCGCGATGGAGCCAGGCACTTTCAAGAGGTTTACAATGGGTGATAACGCGAACTCAACGCGCATGAGACCATAATATCACGTGACAAAGGCTTTAACTTTACCTCTACGATCCATAATCACAGCATCTGACGGCCTACAAACATCTCGACTAGAATAAATGAATGTGTAAGAATGTAATGACTGCGTCTGGGTTTTTTATATTCAGTTCTTTATATTTATAGGGCATTATCGTCAACACAAGCCCAACATTACCACTGACTGCCTTCGCAGTAGTTTGTCGTACAACAACAACGCGTATCAATAATCACATCTTTATTGATAAACGACTACACTTGTTCAATCATGACTCGAGAAAGAGAAAGCTGAAGCAGAATGCACATCATGTTTGAAGATGCTTGAAGATAAAAGACCTTCCAAACCATAGACTATGTTTCGTTCCACAACCACTGAGTAGGTGAACTCACATCAGTCTGAGGAGAAATTATCTATTAAATAATCTGTTTAATCAATGTTACTAATTTGTATTATTTGTTTCTCTTCAAATTACGTCAGAGTCGATATACTTGTTGACGTGATTAGAGTGAAGTTTGAAAACAGTTGCTAGGATTGAAATTTATAACGAATCCGTTATTTGTGATAACGATCGTATGTCAATAACCTTAATAATACTACCTTCTTGTATTAAACAATTCAAATTAATAATAACACATCTCTAAGCAGAAGCTTCGTACGTCATAGTTTGCTCAAATGCATTAGTTTCGATTAAATTATTTTCTTTTCTGTCGGTAGATTTAAGAACTTTATCAGACTCTATTTAGTCTTTATTTTAAAGACAGAAAATTGTTGTTAGATATTAGTTTTACATAAAATACGATATAATTTCAATATACTAAAATATGTATTACATAAATCACGTGTCATACATATCTTATAGCTTTGCTGACATTTATTTTACTTTAACTCAAGCTCACACATCGCTATATTTCAATAAGAAGAAGAACATGCCATCAGACGAAAGTATTTTGTTTTCTTAGTTGTTTCCGAAACGTTTTTATTTATGTTATACATATTTTAGTATATTGCAATCATATTGTATTTTATGTAAAACTACTATCCAAAAAACAATTTGGGACATTGTAGGGTAATTTTCTGGATCAATTCATTATTGGTTTTAGTTGGTGTAATTTAATTTTTTCTTGTAAAACTTTATTGTCTAAGTGATTTTGTCCAATCAAGTCGGGTATTTAAGAAAAGCATAGTCTCCGATGCGTCTTGCATTTACACCTGTATAGTTGTTTGTTGCATAATCTATAAAATTCTACATTTTTCTTCTTAAATATGAATGATGAAGCCCTAGAAGGTAATTCATTATCCAGCAGGATCACACTTCCGGAGTTTGGCGTCGATTATGTCTTATAAATGGTATGAGATGCATCAAAAAGTAAGTTTCCATATGTCACCAAAAAGAAAATACAACTTCATGGAAGTACTTTTTGTTGCACATGCAGCACATTTTGGATTATTTTTCACATAAACTTCACCATAATTGTGACATTTGTCATACCGTGCGTACAACATTTGTCAACAATATTCTTTCCCGATGAAGGGACTGTTTAATTTTCTACACAATTTAAACTCAACGCGTAGCAATGTTAAGATCCAGAATGAGGCCTTTTGAAATTTAATGCAGAGTGAGGTTAGGATTCAGACAGTAATGTGTATGGTCAAACACACCCCCAGCAGAACTGCTGCAGGAGATCTGTCATGAGCCGAGCCTTGTGTGTCTATTCAAATCTCGCCCCCATCGATTTTCATCTTCTGTGCTATTACATGCAACGAAAAATCGGCGGCGAAAAATCCTCACTTTGTGAATCATTGTTTCAAAAGTAAAAAGAGCCGCCCACCGGATCCTTTCTTCAAACAGACAGCCGCTGAACACAGTGCATTACAGCATTTAATGTCCAGCATTGTGGGTGAGTAAAACCACAGTATGCGTATTTATACAGTAGCGCAGCTTAGCTCGTATTTTGGCTAGTTAAGAATGCGCGCGCATACAGCTAGTGAGCCAGGTGAATATCAAGTAAAACTTCGGATAGCTGCTACTGAGTATACGGATTTTTGTGAAATTGTGTTTATTAAGAGTTGGTTAACAACGTAAAAGAAGATTCGTATTATTTCTTGATCTCGCGGTGTTACATTGCTAGGATTTTAGGTTGAAAGGATCTCACTGTTTTGCAGTTAAATGCAGCAATAATGATGAGAAGAACCCTGAATTATGTTGTTTTTTACATGTCTAACAGACCTAAAAAGGAAGATGGAAATTTTGTTATTACTTTCTAACAGAAATGTTATTACCCCTGCTACCGTTATTTACTACTTCGATTACTTACATTTTCAGATATTTTCATGAACAGTGGAAATACTTGTTCTTCCTTCACTTTCGTTCTACTCACTTTGAGCGGACAACATTCATTAGATTAAAATCATTTCTTTCCTTAAAAATTATTTAAAACTTCTATTTCACAAATTGTTTTAGTTAAATGCACAAGGAAATTAAAAAATATATTTATAAAACCATTTACTTTTTAGTTAAATTTCGCTGAACGATGATATATAACGAATTGTAAGGCGGCGAAGTATTCCTTGATCGCCGCGCGGATCGCTAAAGTCGCTGACCAACTCGTCGTCATAAGGCTTTTAACACAGAGCTGCGCTACTGTATAAATACGTATACTGTGGTAAAACATTCTAGTATTGCGAAGCGTTGAGATTAAATTGTGTATAAAATCAAACAACCATCTTAATTTTATCGTGAAAGATATTTTCTGTATTTTCCCTTCAGTTTAATTTGACATAGAAACTGGATTTCTACATTTTTCTAGTCACCCAGGTTAGGTAGTTCTAGCACTCAAACAACTAAATCTCAAATAATTTAATAGAGAGTTCAAAAAGATTTCATTTTATAGAATACATCTCAAGAAACATATCATATCATACAAATCTCCACCACCTCTCGAGGAAAAAACTACTTACTACACTTACGGAAGTACTGACTTCAGTAGTTGACATACCCGGAATCACTAACAACTGAGCAACCTGTTTCCCTTCTTCCTTTTTTGATTTTCCTGGCATTCATATTATTCCACCTGACCTACGGGAGAGGTGGCTCGGGGCAGGACTACGGGAGAGGTGGCTCAACTGATGCAGTGCCTCTGACAGAGAGGTCGTAGATTCGAGTCCCGACTACAGCAGGATTTTCAACACTAGCTAGGCCCGATGACACTCGCTAGCTAGGTCGGTTTCAGTCGCTGACTGGAGGAGAATTCTAGAGGCCGGCTGCTCTGATTGGTAGTTTTCCATGATTTCTCCGATCATCACCAGGCGAATGTCGGAGGAGCACCCTACCAAACAGGCCAAGGACCGCGCGCGATCTTTCCTTCATCTTCCTTGTTCTTTTATCACCCCTTACACACACACCCACGTACAGACAATTAGACAGATATGTAGACGATATGGCTGGACATGTATATTTAGAAGGATAGATAATTACCATGAGTAATCTGTTTTTGTTGTAGAACAATGTTGACATAAAGTACATTAATGACTGCAGCTACCAAAAATTAATTTATTTATTTTATTTCAAAATAATTTTTTTGACACATTACAGCCAACCTACATTACCCACCTACCTAAAGATACCAATCTATGAACCATTATATTATATTTTTGCTATCAGTTAGTAATAATGAACGCACTATTAAACAGGAGGCAACGTAACATTTCGAAATGAGAGACCTTGAGTGACCTCTTCACTGGCGTGGTGTTTCACAGGCACTTCTGGGAACACGTCCTCAAGAAAGCTAAGCGCTAATCAAACACGTGACCTCGTAAAACTGGAAGAGCGAGTGTCACCAGATTCAACATTGTACTCATAAAATACAATCACCAAAGATAATGAAGAAACTAGAAACCATTTAATGGAAAATTCAGTCTTAATTCTTAAATTTATATTGGAAAAGTTAAAATACTAGCAAGGGAGAAACAGTATAAGTATTCTTTTCAGTGTACTCAATGTTCAAATGAAAATATTCTTTTTTGACGGTGTTCAATAAGTGGTACGTTCATCAAGTTATTTTTTAACCTATTGAGGACATTGGGGTCTCTTTATTTGACAATTTCTTCAAATTCGTGTTTAGAATACTAAAAATTGAAATTTGACTCCAGGTTTTTACTATATTAATGTAATTATTTACCTACGTAAAGTAAACTAATTAAAATTAAATAGTAGTTCCGTTTCCTCTAAATATTTAAGGAACATTGTAATCACAATTTAATT